GCCGCGAAGTATATATTGTCAGACTTGTTTTTGCTTGAGAACCAACTCCCACTGCAATTACTCGAGGCTTTGATGAGCGAAAGATTCAAAGAAGATGAGAGGGGAGGAATGATAGAAAATTTCTTTGCAGTAATGTTTGCAAAAGCCCCACCCCCACGAAGTAAGCATAGCATTTCACGGAGGGAAGATGAAAAGCAGCCTCTTCATCTTCTTGAAGCTCTGCGCACAATTCTCCTCTCCAACTACGATGAAGATAAGCAAAGGATTCAATCTTCTTTGTTCCCAAGTGGAAGAAAGGAACTTCCTATTTGTGATGTGAAGGAGTATATTCGGTCATCTATTCGACCTGTCACAGAACTCCAAGCAAAAGGAATTCAATTTAAGCGTAGCAATAGTGTAAGTTTGAAGGACATCAAGTTCAATTCGAAATGCTTTTATGGACAGCTTAGTCTCCCTCCTCGGATCATTAATGCTCAGACCAAGACTATTTATTCGAACCTGATTGCTTATGAAATGTGCCCGAGTACTCCTAATGATTGTGGGATAACTTCATACATTAGTTTCATGAAATCACTCATTTGTCAACCTGAGGACGTGAGAGAGTTAAGGTCAAAGAACATTCTTATCAATTGCCTGGGTAATGATGAAGAGGTGGTTAAAATGTTCAAAGATATCATCACTTACGATCTGCAGAAGTTTGGCATCTATGACCAGGTTAGGAAGGACATTCAGAACCACTACAACAACAAGATGAAGACATGGATGGCTGAATTGATTCACAAATATTTTAGTAGCCCATGGACTGTGGTTGCTTTCTTCGCAGCGACTTCTCTTCTGATCTTGAGTTTCCTGCAGTCCTACTTCACAATCTCCCCAACTCACCATTGAATCAAGTACCAGATACATCGGATCAGTAAGTTAAGTATAGTGATTTGGACTGTGACTTTGTGCGCTTGAGGTAAAATTCTCTACTTTTAGTTTTAAGTTCTCAACTTGTCATCGTTCACAATTATCATATATATGCTTAGATTATTTGTGTAACATTTTACCCATGGTTGTAATATAAACGCGAAAACATGATGTATTATTCTAATCTTTGATTCGAATTTGACACAACACGTGAAAACTTTTGTTTTTCTTTTTTACGTAGATCGGTATGTATAGTCATAAAGGGTTGTTAAGTTATGAAGTAAGAAAGAATTGTTTAGAAACAAATATTGTTATTTTTCTGGTTAATTAATCAAATTCTGATTCATATCCCATTTCTTAACTAATCACTGCCCTTCTATGTAACATTGGTAGAAAAACAACAAAAATGGTTGCTGATATATATTTTATTAATTAGTTCATTCAGACAAATGAACTTCATTTCATTAAATTTTGGATGATAAAGCTGAAATAAATAAATATTGTGTTGAATAAATATAAATATAAATTCAAATTGATCAGTAATTAGTTCCTTTGCCATCATCAGATTGATTGCCGGTATCGGGTTCATCACACATGGGTGTTGTGTAGTAGAATGGGCCGAGCACATGTTTGATCATATCTCGGTACACCATGGTGGGTCGGCCGAGCTTCACCCCTCTCCGGCCACCGGAAAAATCAGTGGCAATGTTGCAGACCGGGTCGGGTGATGAAACCAGCCTTAGAAAACTGTTTGTGGGTTTGAGCTCTTTCCCATTGATGTACCTGTTTATGATCATCTAAAAATTACCAGCCTCATCAATGTCGTCACTTCCATAGTACACAACTCTAATTACAATTTGTCAGATTATTACATTTTTAAGGTCCTAGGTTTGAATGTAGTGAATCTCAATAAATCATCAAAATGTTATGATTAATCATGAAAAATACAAATTTTAAAAGTCAAGTTACGTTTTTGAACTTAAAGTCAGGATTAATCGATGTTATTTATGATCGATCATAAAATTGTAATTGTAACTTGATATTTAATACTGTTGTTTTTTTGCTACTATAATATTTTCTTTTGATATTTAACGAAAGCATGCAACACTTCAGGGGTTTAAAGGTGTTGGTATCATTGTTGTGTTATGTTAGATTGTATCATTTTCAAATTCTTATGATGTTCATATTCATGTATACCGTGAAATAGAAATCACAAGAATAATATACCAAATTTTCTCTTAATCAAGTCCATCAAACATGAATCTTCTGTGAATTAAAAATCTACATAGCGAAATTATACTAACTCGATTCTATTAAATATTCGTGTCATTTTTAATTTATGTTGTGTCTTATTGATGTGACCCGATAAAATTGAGACTCAGCTCAAGCTAGATGGCAGCCTGGGAGAATATTGTTATCATTAATTGTCTCAACATGTGGCTTTACTTTAGATTTATTAAATTTCAATGATTATTTGTATATTTTTAGTTGCCACCACATGCCAACAACATGCAGCTCCCTCTCATGTGTGACTTTATCTGATTTCCCAAATAACAAAAGTATTATAATGGCTGATACGATCAGTAGTAATCTGCTTTTGGAGGTGGAGTCAAAAGTGGTTAGGTTTGGTGCAGGAGGGGGAGCATCACATGGGTGTGGGTTCATACACCATCCATGATAGAGTTAAAAAGTGGTGTATTAGACCCCACCCAACACATTTAGGTGAGACCAGGTGCACCAAATCGTGCGTTGGTTGGTCCAAAATAACTTTGTGATCTCCTTCCATTGATTTTTAAGGATCAACTTGCTTTGTCAATCTCACTTACGTAAGTATTTTAAAGTTAGGGATGGTAATAGACCGAAAAAGAAAAAAAATTGTCAAAATTCATCCTATTTGAATTGGGGATGGAGGCGGAGATAGACCGACACTTACCCCTGCCCCACTAGACCTGCTAGATTTTCATAAATATATATAATATATCAATAGAAATATTTGTATAGTATATATATATATATATATATAATATCAAATTTTGATGCATTTCTTACCTCGGATTTGGTTTATTGTGTGATTATTGTGTTGGATATGTTGTAATCTGTTATTATGGATGGGTGGTGCTGGTGGTGGCGGGGCGATGGTGGGTATGGAGAAAGGGACTAAAATTTATCTGCGTAGCAAGGATAATGATTAAAATTTTTTCTGCTAACGGAATTGAAATGGGGGTGAATGAATATTTTTGAAGCGGGTACGGGAGTAGAGACTACTCCCCCCACCCTTGCCCCGGTCCACTTTCATCCTTACTAAGCTCAATTTTCCTTCTTTTTTTTTTTTCCTCTACAAAGCCAAGAACCTAAATAACACACAAGCCGAGAACACAAGCCGGGAACCAACCCTCCAATTCCACGCTTCCGATGAGACTAAAACCTACTAATTAAGCTTAGTTAAGTCGATCACCTCTGACTTATACAACTAGTAAATAGTCAATTATAGTCAAGCACAAAAGTTGATCTCTGGTGCCTTTCTTTTGGGCTCTGTTCTACCGTTCCTTTGGTATCTCTCATGCCTCTCTTCAAAGCTTTATTATCCTTTTTGGAGTTTTTTTTGGTTTCATTGTATTAATATATTCTTTCGATTTCATACTATAATGACTAGTGTTTTGCCAATTCATACGAGAAAATAGTAAAAACTTAGAATCTCTAACCTCTTTATCAAAAAAATGAGGGTGATACCACTTACAAGATGCCATCCACATGCAAATGTCTCTTCTGGTGATGAAATTTGCCTAGTTTAACAAATTAACAATAGTTTGATTTCATAATCTCAATGATTAATAGTTGTGTGATTTTTTGACCCTATGTAATTGTAGTGGGACCCAACCCAATTGCGAATCAACTTTTTTTGAGATGTTTAGGTTCCCATCACATCCATTCCCTCAATTACAAGTGACAATGGACCTCCCTCACTTCACTTTTTTTCCCCATCCTATCAGATCTAACGTAATCTTGAAGATATTGTCTGCTATTCTATTCTTGTGTCCTACCTTGTTTGGCCCATATGTCCATTGATACCCTTCAACTGCTCTTTGATCATCACCAAAAAAAAAAAAAAAAAAGGCGTAGTCTACGGTATTGAAAAATAAAATTTTAGTATTATTATTTATAATTTTTGTGAATATTTTTATCATTCTTGTGGTACTTGCGATCGATCCTAACAATTACCCACAAAAATAATAAATTTTTTTGTTGTAAACTTATAGCCAACAAAAATTATAAAAACACTCATTAAAATTATAAAATTTGGAGGTGCAGTACTGAATTTTTTTCGATTCTGGAGTTTTCTCCAAAAGAAAAAAAAAACTTCTATGATAATCAACCAGATTAGACTTGTCAATAAATAAAAGTTTTATTTGGATTTCAATATTGTAATTGATTCAATTCGAGCTATATGTAATTATATGCTTTTAATAAAATTAGGGGATTCTTGTATGAAGTTCATCTCAATTACGAATTTTCAAATCAAACTTCTAATTCTTAACGTATTTGATATATTAAAAACGAAAATAAAATTTATTAAACAATCAGATCAAAATCTGATAAAAAATTAAGATATATTTGAGATTTAAATCGATCAAAATTCGATACAAATATTCACATGCCCGTCAATACTTTTTCTGGTGGGGGTATTATGTGTGTTTGGAAAAAAAAATTTCATTACAACGGTGATATCACGTCAACATTGTCACGTAGTATCACCAACCAATAATATATAGACAAATAAGGAAGTAGATTCCACACAAGGCAATAACTATCGTCAATAACTACTCAGGTGGAGTTTACTTTACCTATTTGAGATTTTATTATTGGTTAATGATATTAAGTTATTAACACTGATACAATATTACCGGTGTATTGAATATTCTTTTGTGGAAGGGGAGGGGGGGGGGGGGGGGGGGGGGGGGGGGTGGGTTTATCTGTTTGGTGGTTGATGGTGATCAGTTCTATATATATCCATCCACGTGGTGTGCCATATTCTTTGCCTATTTAAAGGTTGCTCTCTATGACAGTCATTGTGGTTATCCTTTGTTGAAGACCTCAGCCCTTAGGCTATCTTATAATACTGCACTTCCTTAAGCTTCTTTCTTTCTTATTGCTGTTTTTGGTTCTGCTACTCACTGTTCTTGTACAATATGGCCTCTTTGGTACCTGAAAATTGGTCATGCATGAATGGCCCTAATCATGACTTCCATAACATGGAAGTCTCAGAAGTGGAAACTGCCCTTCTCATCTCACTACTTGATGAATCACAAGGTGACGATATTTGTGACGATGAAAGATTAAGGAGTGTAATTCAATCTCTGGAAGTTGAGATCGGTCCTCAAATGGTCGACGATGTTCATAACTCATTTGTGGATCCTTCTTACTATACCAATATGGCATTGGAAGAGGGTTGCTCATTGTCCGAGGGTGGGGTACACGCGGACGGTCAGGATTGTTCCTCATCTTGTGATCTTGATCATACCTATTGGATGGATATGGAGATGATGCTTTCCTCACCTAGTGATTGCATGATCAATTGGTATTTGGACTCCTATGGAGAGGATATGGAGGGTATGGGTATATTTGAGTTTGGTGTTAGAGATTGTTTTTCTTTTAGTTACTATGGAAATTGTATAGAGGACCATGAGTATGGTTCTTTGTGGCAAGATACAAATGATTCAGAGATGGACAGCTAAGATTTTGCCACTCTTATGATCAAAGCCTTGAAGCATAATGAATTCTGCTATTTGTTATAAATATTTTATAATTGACAGTCTAGACCCTTAATTTTTTAAGTTTATTATTTTCTTTATAAGTGATGAGTAGATTAGAAATGCTAAAACATTTTTTTTTTTTTTTTGGGAAGGGGAAGGGGAAGGGGGATTTGATCCCTTGACCTTAAGAAGGCAAAGCCTTTACAAGACAAAGAGTATCATTGAATCAAAAGCTCATTGTTAAAACTCGCCCCATAATTAATGATGAGATTGTGTAAAACCTTAATGGAATTAGTGATGAGATTTATGAAATTCATGGTAAACGATATTACATTACTCCTACATTTTACAATTCAATTATGATATGATTCAATTATCTGAAGGGTGAAGGCTCCATTCGACAATCCACAAGTGGGAGACCTTTAACCCGCTTTGGAACTATTTCGATTTACCAGATTGATAGATAATTCTTTAGGATTGGGTAAAATAAAAATGTGGAGCCCATATTTCCCATATTTGGCAAGTTAAAATTAAGGGATTAAGATTATGATTAAAATTATTAATATGCCCTTACTTCGACTCAAACACTTTATTGGATGAAGGACAATATTGTCAAAAACACATCCACGATTGTAAAAAGTGGCATTCGATTTGATATTACATCTCAAGACTCACATGTTACTTTTATTCCTATCTAATCACTCGCAGAATTGAAATAGAAAAAACATATTCGTATTCAACCTTACCTAAAAGATTTAATTGCATGGATTTGGATTAGTTTATCTAAATCAATCTAATCTTAAATTTGGAAACTTACCAAGTGGCCCCTTTCTGTCTTTCGGATCACATGACATGTCACATTTTATATAGAAATAAGCGTGAGACTAATTTTTTTCTGTAATTTTATATATTTATCAGCGTATGATCTCTCAAATATATTTTTTTCCTATTTTTTTTATGAATAGATCATTTACGTTGAATCCAAGTGAGACCGTGATTTACCAAAAAAAGAAAATGGAAAGAAAAAGTATTGGAAGGTGGGCTGTTCATTTGATCTAGTCTCTGAAGTTAAGGGATTTGGAGATCTAAAGGCCAATCAACAAGTTGTGATGGGACCAAGCACCATGTCCATGTGCACACACAAGTGAGTTGAATGGTCATTTGGGTAACACTATCCCATTGTTCAATGGTGACCATTGACCAACTTGCCCTCCAGCTCTTCTTCATCAAACACCTTTACATAAAATACCTGCTGGTTGTCCAAACTGGTCGAAACCCATATATCACACATTGAATGGTTACCTATTATAGAGGACCCCCAAGACCCATAACTGATAACTGTTCATGACCTCAAAGACCCAATTATGTGTGCTATATATATAGGAAAATGTGCATATGTATCATATTCCTTTCTTAACCCATGGAAAGATGAAAACTTAAACAGATGAATTGAGTTCTTTCTTGCCTCAATTTAGAAAGATTGGCTTAAGTTGTCCACAAACATCCATTTCATAATTAATTTTTTTTAATTTGATTCTCTTTTCACAGTTAACAATAAAATTCATTGTTTGTTGTTTACTATCCCACATCGATTTCAGCTCCGAGGAGGGAAGAAAAAAGGGCACATGGTGGCTCCTGCATCAGAGTGATATATTTAAATAGTATTAATTGCATTTCATACCCAGGGAAATTTTGGAAATGTCAATTTGTCCCACTTCAAGTTATCAAACTTTTCATCCTCAAATTTCAAACACTAGTGTGTCCCACGTTATTTTTTTATGTATATGTTGAGTTATTTTGGTTAAAAATAAAATTTAAATGAATTATTGTACTTAGAAGGATAAAAAAGTTAAAATTTAAATGAGTTACCGCAATTAAAAGATTAAATGATTTATATTAAATTGTAATATAAATCGTAGGATCTAAACCATTGGTGTATTTTTCTAAGTGATGAGTATAAACAACTCATGCAGCATGCCCTATTTTATTATTATAGATGTGTTTCGACTTTTACATTATGTTTCAATTTGCATCATCCAATTATGAATCAAATGAAAGGGCAAATTGCACTGCTACCCTAAAGTATGACCTTTATTTCACATTGACTCCTAAACTATCTATTTTCTCACATTGCTCCTTAAACTATTAGATTGAATTCCATTTTTTCACAAAAGGATAATGCAAAAGCTAGAAGATGTGGTCTTCCTGTTGTCAACGGGAGAAATTCCATTTTCTCACGTTGTACTGTAAACTATTAGATACCTGTTATTACATCTACACAGTAAGTAGAAATACAACCACGCCCATGTAACGAACGATAGTTTTACAAGTGGCTCAGCCGGAAAGCCTTTTCTATAGGACCATTATCAGAACATTTTATCAAACCAAAAGCCAGTTTCATCAATCTCACATCTATTAAAGAGAACATCGACAACCACAAAAATGTATAGCTTGACCTACCACAGCATTAGCAGGGTTTCGACTCCACTTCTTGCAACCCACAAACCATGTTAGCGGGGACTGCTACGTCCATCATCTTTGGATATGACAAGTTCAAATCTGTTGTAATAATTATGCACTGCTAGCAATTTTGCAGGACAAAAAAAAATGCTTGTGAAGAATTAAATATGCAACATTGCTTTCGACAGTTTCTTGATAACTGATTACTTACTTGCCATGATGTTCTTGAATGCCTCCTGCAGCAGCACGTTTGTTCCATAATGGAAATAAATTAGTAAAAAGAAAGCAGAACCCAATCAGTCAAAATAAAGATATATAATAAAATAATTTTTGGCAGGAAAAGAGATGATTTTCTGTCCAAATGCATCAGTGTCCTCATTTTCTGAATCGATGCTTTTATGTGGTATCCCAAAGTTGCATCCCTAGATTCTCATGAATTTTGCAATACTCTTTGCATACAACATAGTACATCCAATGAAACAGGAGACCGTCACAGAAGAATTACAAGGTAAATTAGCTGCCTAATCCAAACTTCCTCGTCTAGTTTGTTTATTGGAGTAGCGCTTCAGCAAACCACATATGCAGTTGAAAATGTATGCGAACAACAGAGAAGATGAATTCAATTAAAAGACTGTCTGTCTTAAGAATGATGGTAATGCAAGTCTCTCAGACCTTTTCTAAGACCTAATATCCCAAAATGAAAGGAGCTAGAATCAGGTGATTGTTTTGTTATTATGAAACAAGAGGCCAAGATTGATTAGTTACCACAATCAAAATAAGCAAGTACAAGCTAGAGAATCACCTCATCTTTTGTCAAGCGAGCATTAAAAAGCATCTCCTCTCCCACAGTACTAACCTGAAGATCAAACAGGCTGTATAAGCAGTCAATTTTTATGTACATATTATAGAATCAAGAACCATTAGAAACATCCTTACAGTGAAACCTTTGTAGTCATGAGCAGGATACACCAATGTGTCCTTGGGTAAAGTAAAGATCTGGCCACATAATATTACAATGAATGAGGGACAGTCAAAGGAAAGAAAAAATAGGATATATTTTATAAGTTCTATGTCATATCTATAGTATTGAATTGCACTATTTTCGTGTCCTTGCCTGTGAATGCACCTGACTTATATAGTTGCTGTGAACTTCCACACTGCAATCAAGTTATTGAAATTAAACTTAGCTGATAAAAGCAAAAGCTAAAAGTATCTAGTAAGATTAACTCTATTGTCCAAGGCCAACCAAACCAACATGCAACACCAGAACAGGATATGTCATGAGAAACCAGTTCCCAGACAATATCGATGATACACTTCATCTGGATTGGATGAAAATGTTGACGGCCAAAACATACATATAATTCCCGATCAATGAGGCAGCTTAACTGAAAATGATGGTTATTAAGAAGCAAACAGATGAGGTTAGTGGTTGGCCTAATGGCAACCACCCCCACTGTTGGACCTTAAAGGTCATGGTTTCAAATCTCGTCGTCCCCTCCCTTGTAATAGTGCCTGACCAAAAGAAAAAACAAACAAACAGATTTTATACATAGCCAAACAGCAACACTTACATAAAATGGCACAAAATTGGTTACTGATCAGACTGGTAAACATCTAGTGTACTTACAATCAACTACTAGAACAAGAATAGAAAGAAAACTAAAGGCAACGATTTACAATACCTAGAAAAACCTTATCGTTACTGCATGCTTCATAAGTTGAATAATCCTTCTTCTAGCCATATTTAGCAATGCTAAAAATGTATGGATAATTGCATATTATGCTAAACTATCAAAAATGCCCCAGATTTCCGGATGATTGCACATTCTACGAAAAAAATAAAGAACACAAGTTCTTTTCAATTATGCGGCTATACCTGGAAGTCTGTCCTCCCACATCCGCGTATTAATAGAGCATCACCCGTGAAAGCCATCCTTGGCTGAGGCCGACTTGGTCCATCTCCTGTAACATAAGTAACACAACCTAATGTATGACCAGGGGTAGCACGAACCTGCAAGGAAAACATCATTAGTTTTAGAAGGTAATTTGGATTGGAGTTGGACACAGTTCAATGCAAGTGATGAACAGGGGGCAAAGTGATATTAGACCATAGTTTAGGTGTTCTAAGCGTAATTTACCCTAAACGATATCATAATCAACTAAATAATTGGATGGAGAGGCATTTTGAACAACTAATAAAGCTCAGAAGATCACCGATCCAAAGAGGTTAATAGAGCCCGTTGATTCTGAAAACTAGACTCTGACCAACCTGGTCAGAATCCAAGATATACACTACTTTGATTTGAGAGTGATGGTGAACCTTATAAAGTTATGATTGACTAAATATATTTATCTCAGGCCCAACATCCTTTGGACAAAAGTGCAGTATCAAATTCTCTGATTCTCATATCTATTATCTTCTGTGGTTGCCCCTAATGTTGGTCCAGAATTTCTTCATACCTGACTAATATTGGCAGTCTTTGTAATGCATCAGAGGTTAACAAGCCACTTCATGTAGAAACCATTTAAAACAAAAATACTAGTGTACCACCAGAAAAAGATCACCAAAGCAGATTTTATCACCAGGTTCAACCACAAGATCAGCTTTTGCGTCACTTGCTTTGGAAATGATAGATTTCACAC